GATAAATAAATAACCCTAAAAAGAGAAGACAGTGTCGGGCAATTTTTTAGAGAAAATGCTCTAAAATGCGATATTTACTCAGCTTGCTCGTTAATCACGTATGGAGAAGTTAAAACTTATCCGAGAGCAAACCGAAATCTTCAGGTGGCAAAATCTTGGAAGCAACTGAGAAAAAAATACAAAATTCCCCCAAAAGTGCAAAGAATAAATCAATCTTCAACGTCTTCAAAACACTCTAAATGGACGTCAAGAGCACCAAAGTGTTAACGAGTGAGCCACACATCAGGATCAGAACCAATAGAAGAAAGAATGACAAAAATTACGTTAAAGATAAAATGCCAAAGAAATTAAAAGCACAAGAAGAAAACTGAATATTGAGCCATAAAACGCGCTCTTGAACTTGTTGAAAGTGATAAATCAGCTGATATTCCAACCAATTTCCAAAAATATAAAATAAACACACTTGTAGCAAGGAAGAGCAGAGGAAAGACGTGCACCAGGAGCGGTTAAATCTACAACAAACATACAAAAGAAGCAGTCAAATGTTCAAAATTTTTCCTGAAAAAATCCAAAATGAACTCGATAAATAAATAACCCTGAAAATTGTAATAATGTGATAAATAAATATCCCTAAAAAGAGAAGACAGTGTTGGGTAATGTTTTAGAGAAAATGCTCTAAAATGCGATATTTACTCAGCTTGCTCGTTAATCACGTATGGACAAGTTAAAACTTATTCGAGAGCAAACCGAAATCTTCAGGTGGCAAAATCTTGGAAGCAATTGAGAAAAAATTCAAGATACCCCCAAAAGTGCAAAGAGTAAATCAATATTAAAGTAAATCAAGAAAGAATAACAAAAATTAGAAGCACAAGAAGAAAACTGAATATTAAGCCATAAGACGCGCTCTTGAAAAAAAATCAGCTGATATTCCAACCAATTTCCAAAAATATAAAATAAACGCACTTGTAGCAACGAAGAGTAGATTAAAGACGTGCACCAGGAACGGTTAAATCTACAACAAACATACAAAAGAATCAATCAAATGTTCCAAATTTTTCCCGAAAAAATCCAAAATAAGCTCGATAACTATCGAGATTTTCGGCGTTTTCGAGCCCGAACGATGGTGCTGCGACGCAAACCACCTCTGAAGCTGCAACGCCCGGAAGATTTTTTTCTACGCCGAAAAGGTTCGAAAAACTCATCAGTTTCAACCTTAAATGCAGTTTAAAAAAATGGCGCATCGACTGGATTTAATTTTTGGAATGGAAAGCGATAAATTCGGCAGTTGGAAAAAGCGACCCCAGTCCTGTTATGCATTTAAGCAAAATTGCTTGCATTAGAATTAAAATTGCATAAAGCGATCCTTCGTTCCCCACAAAAGAAGCGAAACAAAGGAAAGGCCGAGAGGATGGTTTGACTGGCAATTTCTTACTGAAAAGTAGCAATTCCCCAGGCCATACCAAAACGTAGGCAATACCGGAATACAAATCGGATCAAGAAACTAATTTAGTTATCACTTGACCTGTGAGAGGCCGGCAAATAAAGCAATATTAAAGTTTAGTACTGGGCTCTGAACGCCTCTCCTGCCCGCCAAATCTTTTATTTATCCCGGACGCTGCTGAGATTTTTTTAAGACCGAAACGCGCAGTGAGTCGGAATTAAAGTTTTTCGAATAACTTTTTTATTGCTGCCCGCTTTTATGGCAAATTTGCGCTGATGAATGAAACAACGGGATTATAAAAACGGAAATGGACTTCTCAATTATTCAGTCACCCATAAATGTTTCACTTGACGAAAAATGTTGCAATCCAGCTCTTTGACTAAACAACCGAAATGTTGAAATTAGGATGATTTACATCAGAGCCAATCAGGAAATTACCGTCCTTTCCACCATTCTCTTCGACTTAAACGAATGTGGAAAGAACGTGAATCCAACAGCGAAATAAATTTATATTCACCGTCTGTTATTAAGTTAATTAGCAGTTCGATTGGAAGTACGGAACCCTTTTCCATCGGCCCCGCTCCGGAGCTATCATTGGCCGACAGGCCCGATCTCCCCAAGAAAATGGATAATTAAGTTTAATGAGCAGATGAAAACGGAAGAGCCAACTGCTTAATGCTAAATTATTAACTTTATACATGGGCAATTGCCAGCGATTATCGATTTGTTCGTGCAAAGAGGACTGGCTGTCTTGTGATTTTTCATAAATGGCAAACCGGTAACACTCCCACTCGCCATTGTCTTTCAATGCGGCACAAATTATCGAAATCATTTGAAAGCAATTAAGTAGAAAATCGGTAGGTGGATGGAGCGTTTGTTAAAGTGAAAACGCTCAGCAGAACAACATTTTTTCGGGTTCAGGCGCAATGGTCTATGGATGCGTATTTCTCCGATAATCCAGAAAGAATTATTATTGAAACTGGAAAATTTCGGTTTTTTTCGCATTTTTTTTCCCATTTAACCGATATCGCATCATTTACGGTTTCCCATGTCATCTTTTGGGCAGTCGTGAAAAAGGGTTCTTCCTGACATTTGGCAAGCGAGTGGTTTGCATCTTCAGAGCAGCGCCACTCTGAAGATGCACACATTAATACAAAATGTATCAATCCGATAGAATTCCATCGGGTTGATAATTCCCGTAAAACGTTTCGAGTCACCCGATAACTTTACTTAAGAGCCCTAATTATAATTTTCAATTAGATCCCGGGCCATTTTCCAAGCAACAGCGACAATTCCCAGCTGAAAAAGCGTTCAACAGCGAATTGAAGATAACACGACAAAATCTATAGCCTGTTTTAAAATTTAATTCCCTCTTTTTCGGGCTGCCATTTTAATAATTAGGCAGCCGCGAGGGCCCGTCTCCGCATCCAGTAATATTTAGAAACTGTATAAAGTCAACAGGAGCTGTTTAAATCGTTATCAAATATGCATGCAACCCTTTTTAACTTCAATTAACTCGACGACTTTATATTGTCCAGATACGAATTTGGGCCGCGATTAAGTTCACTTGCCTGTGCAACTAATGGATTTGTCTTTGTCCCGTTATTTCATGACTCGGTAAATGTTAATTGGGGTTCGCATTATCGTTGACTGTTCTATAAATTGCCTCTCCACTAAGCCGTTTGCTCAAGAACTGTGTTCATCATATCAATTTGAATTGGAGGGCAAATTATGAATTACAAATCTTTTCAAAAAAATGGGGGACGCGTCTGATGGCCATCCAAGCCTGCAGCGAAAAGCATTCGCTTTATGCTCTAAGCGGGACAAAATTGCAACTAAAAATAAAAAACCTGAAAAATTAAAACATAGTTGAGGAATAATGTAATGGAATCGTCCGACACGTTCTAGTTAATTAGATTATAAGGAGAGGGATTCGTTTATTAAACAGTCGAGCGAACATAATTGGACAGCGATTCTTGGAAAATCAAAATGGCTCCGACGAGAAATAAAAGAAAAGAGGTTCGCCTTAAAAAAATGACAATTAATTCTTGAAACAAAACACTTGACTTGCTTGCTTTTGCTGCAAGTCGGTTCAATCGGTCGAAGTTGCCCACACGCAGAACATCAGAGAAATTTCAAAATGTATTTGTGCCTACCGGTTGCTTTGTTGAAAATACAGGGTCATTCTTCTAGAGGTGTTGTCTGGGAGCACAGAAAAAATAGTAAAACACATTAAACGTTATTAAAAACTCAGATATTTGCAAAAAAACTACATCAGAAGGATGGCAACAATGTTTTTCAAGGTAATCTGCCTAATTAACATTGCGCAAATACCTGTTGCGCTGTAATTATTTAAAACTCCGGTAACCATGGATAAACAGGCAAAGAAAATAAAAGAGACAATAACATGCGTTGAGGTTAGGATAACGGTGTCACTTTGCGGTCAGTGCTGCCATCTTTTTGGGGCAAAAAACCACCGGTTAAAGGCAATTCTGCTGTTAAAACACAAGAAGTGTTGCCAAGAGCAAGAAGTCCTGCCCGTTTCACTCCAAACATCTTTGTAGCCCAATCACTTTGAGTCTGAGCTCATATTTTGAGCAGCTTCTCGTGTGTCTGCTCAATTTGAACCAGTGTTCAGTAGATCAGAGATTTAAGGTGTTCTAGTGTCCTGTGCATATTACATACATGGTAGGAATGTAGGCCCTTCCTCGGGGGAGTTATCGGGACATCGGACAAATGGTTGTTATTATTGACAAAGGCTGTCTACCTGTCACTATCTGTTAATGGCAAAAAACATCGTTGCCGCTTTGACTTTTCCTCAAAAAATTGTAAAAAAGTACTTTTTTAATATAAAAATTTTTCGTAATTTGACGAATTTGACGATGGTAATTTTTCTTTTCGAATGCTTAAGCATTCCAATAGAACGTGAGACCTTTTCAAAATAATGCTTAACTATAATCTTCAACTGTTAATAATTTCTGAAAAAAAAAATTTCAATATTTTTCTCGTTCTCTCTAAGTGGGCCCCTATATACCCTTAAAAGGAATGACGCCAATTTTGAGTCACCCTGTATACTTGTTCAAATCAAACGTCCCATTCAAGAACGAACTTCAGTAAGTCTACCGAATTTCAAGTGATTATTTTCGAAGCAAAAAATGGGAAAAAATACGATTGCAAAACAATTGGATTCCTATTGAAATTTGTTGTTGTGAAAAGTCACCTGAAAGTATGAAACAGAAATATACCGAAGTCAAATTTATAGAAAACTAAAAGCAGCAATCAATGATAAGGAGCAAATGCGAAAAAAATCGTCATCAAACCGCAGAGAAGTGAGTGGTAAAGGCCGTGTAAACGGCGGGCAACAGAATGCGAACGAACATACCAAATCGCTTACCTGATCCCCAAAAAAATTAACAGAAAGATATTCAATTTAGTTGGAATCAGTTTAATCCAATGGGGAATGGGATGGGAGGAGCCACAACAGCCAATCTGGCCAATGATGGGTCCGCGTTAACTACCGCCGTTGGTGCCATGGCAACGGCTTAGCTGGTGGCTAGTGTGTACAGTTGACATTCGCCCGAAGTAACTGAGAGAAGCTTTTTCGCTTGGGCTGCGTTCGCGATTTCGACTACATCGAGTCCGATTGAGACTGTTAGTCAAAGATTTAACGATGCTGATCGAAGGTTATTAGATGAAACAGATGTGTTCGATTGGTTGAGCGTTGATAGTAAACTGGGGAAAAAAACCGGCGACAATGTCCGACCACGAGCTGACTGAAGAAGACCACGAAATCAACATTCTGGACACCGATTCCCGATTATCGCACAGTGATAGTGATGTCCGCAGTTTGCGCAGCCATTGCAGCAGTCCGGACAATGAGACCTCCTCGCACACCTCCACGAAAAGCGCTCTACCATTTAGTATTTCGAACTTGTTAGGGAAAAATTTCGAACACAAAACGGACACTGACACGGGCGGAACCCTCTACCAGAACCCGGCGGGCATCTTCCAACCGCGCAGTGCTTTAGGTTTTGTTCCCTCGGGATTTTATGGGCATGGTGTTTTACGGGTTCCGGCCCATCGGCCGATGGGAGGACCTGGCAGTCCTCCGGGCACCGCCGTTTTTAATCCATGGACACTCAGTTTGGATCCGGTGCTTCAACGATCGGCCGCTGCTGCCGCTTTTGCCTCTCAAGTTGTTAAAGATCGACTTGCAGGTAAGATTTTATTAACACCACATTTTTACGGAGTTCCAAAAATTCATCAAGTTAATATTCCTTTACGACCAATAGTT